CTCAGTTTAGTATCGATTATCATTGTAAGTATAGAAGAAAAATTATGAGATTCGAATATACTCTCGGACACATCAAACTCCACACTGACTCACTAACAATACTTAAGTGACTCGTACACGTCACTACAAATAATTCAGCGCAAAGCTACACGAGGGGCTGTCTACGCTAGCTGTCCCTAATTTAGCAGTGTAAGACTAGAGGGAAGGCAGCTAGTCATCACCGCCAACTCTTGGGCTACTCTTTTACCAACGAATAGTGGGATTGACCGTCACATTATAACGCCCGCACGACTGCATGTTTGGTGGGACGGGGATTCGAACCCGCGACCCTCAGATTGCGAACCGAGCGCCCTAACCACCTGGCCATGCCGGGCCGCTCACATAGATAACAGATCTTTTTCTTCTTCTGTTACCTCCCTCCCTCTTTGGTAACTCATATAATTATGGCCACTTCTGAAAAATATATGATAGAAACATAAAGTATAAGATATGATACTTTGAAACAAGTCGTATAACTAAGTGTGTACAGAATAGAAATAAAATTAGCAAAAGCATAGTAATTTGGTAAAATCCATCAGTGGTTTAACGGTTAGTTTACGGACTTAGAACGATAAAATTCAAGATTCCATATTTCCATGGTGAACAGTCCGTTTTGTTTGTTTGTTTGTAAATTAAGCACAAAGTTACACATTGGGCTATCTGTGCTCTGCCCACCACGGGTATAGAAACCCGTGATTCTAGCGTTGTAAGTCCGCAGACATACCGCTGTGCCAATGGTGGTGGTTTATGTTTATTTTATGTTTATTTGTAATTAAGCACAAAGCTACACAATGGGCTATCTGTGCTCTGCCCACCACGGGTATCGAAACCCGGATTCTAGCGTTGTAAGTCCGCAGACATACCGCTGTGCTACTGGGGGGCGCCAATGGTGGTGGACAGAGCGCAGATAACCTATTGTGTAGCTTTGTGCTAAAACAAACAAAAAAATTAGTTAGAACAACAAAATTTTCCCACACTCCTAAGTAAATACAAACGAGTGTCCATTTTCTTTGTTTTAGTATAATAAACAAAAAGACGCGAAACATAAACTTACAAATAGACACAAAAATTTAAGTTCTCGTTCGTTAATGTTTAATTTTAGTGTAAGCTAATAGGGCACTCTGGTGAGTCACATCTTGTGAGAAATCACTGTTGTCGAGTTTTTCGCCAGCACCATGGTAACAGCGTTCCCAGTTTGAGTTTAAAACCAACGAGTCCACTGTATCTCACTTTTCATCACGACGTCCGAAATTTCCGAGCATGCAAATTCAGCATCATGTAACGAGATGCGAGAAATGACTACCTTTTAGACCAACAAACAAACAAACAACAACAACAAAATTTAGGAACTCGCAATCTGCGGGTCGCGGGTTCGAATCCCCGTCCAACCAAACATGCTCGCCCTTTCAGCCGTGGGGGCGTTATAATGTGACGGTCAATCTTTGATTTTTGTTAAATAATTGTCTCGAAAATTATTATTATTATTATTATAAAGTCAGTTGGATTCTCGTAAATTCTATCTATACAGCATTAACAGACAGTTTGTTTTAGAGCTTTTGTGCAATGCTGCACAATGGTTATTTGTGCCTATCCCTCGTTATCTTTGAATTGATAGACTAGATAGAAGGTAATTAGTCAGCAGCACCCACCGCCAACTCTTGGACTATTCTTATCGGATCGAATATTTCTATTTGATCGTCATTTGTACAGCTGGTGGTTAGGGGTCGCTCTACTCGCAAGGATTT